TTCTCTCCAGCATGCGGTCGACCGTGTTTCCACTTGGGCCACCACACATGGGTTTAAATTTTCAGTACCAAAACTCACCAAATTACTTCACTAGACGCTCTGTTATCTCCGATCATCCTTTGTATCTCTATGGCTCCCGTATCCCCGAACGTGATACAGTCAGGTTTCTAGGCCTTCTCTTTGACCGTCGGTTAACTGGAAACCTCACATTACCTCTCTGAAGGCAACTTGTCACAGCCGGCTAAACTTCTTAAAACCCTTGCTCATCTTTCCTGGGGAGCTGATCGTCGAACTCTGCTTCGCCTACATTCAGCCCTCGTTTTATCGAAACTCGATTATGGTGACAGATTTATTCCGCGGCCTCTCCTGCTACTCTCTCTAGCCTTAACTCTATCCATCACCAAGGCTTACGTTTGTGCCTGGTGCTTTTCGCTCTTCCCCTGTTGAGAGCCCTATATCAGAAGCAAATGTTCCATCCTTGTCTGATCGCCGTGATGCCCATTGCCTTCGTTACTATGTACGCTCTCACGTATCTACACAATCCTTCCATTTATAGAATGGTCACCGATATTAGTAGACATTCTTTATTCGTTCGCCGCCCCTGTTTGCTCCGTCCCTTTTCTCTTCGCCTACATTCACTCTTGTCTTCCCTTCAGTTACCACCTTTATATGTTCATGTAGCATCTCACTTTTCCCTGCCCCCTGGGAAGTTCCAGCTGTTCGGGTCTGTTCTTTCTCACTCCCTTGCTCGAAAGCTCAACTGCCTACGGTGGCTTCCCGCTCTCTTTTTCTTGATCACTTCCACTCCATTCTCATGCCACGCTGTGTACACAGATGGCTCTAAGTCTTCAGACGGCGTCGGATTCGCAGCAGTGTTTCCGGACAGCGTCGTACGAGGGCATTTACTATCTTCAGCTAGCATTTTACTGCTGAACTGTATGCCATTCTTGCAGCACTTATTCGTATTGCATCTATGCCTGTGTCATCATTTGTAGTAGTCTCAGACTCCCTTAGTGCTCTACAGGCTATACGAAAATTTGATACATCTCATCCCCTAGTTCTCCGTATCCAACTTTGGCTACGCCGTATCTCTACCAAACATAAAGATATTGTTTTTTTGTTGGGTCCCTGGTCATGTCGACGTACAGGGCAATGAACAGGCAGACACTGCTGCACGGTCAGCAGTATATGACCTACCAATTTCCTATCGAGGTGTTCCATTTCTGGACTATTTTGCTGCAATAAGCTACCCACCTTCGCACCCGTTGGCAACAACGTTGGTCAACTCTGCTCGGTAACAAACTTCATTCTATTAAACCGAGCATAGGTTACTGGCCGTCTTCTTGTCATCAGTGCCGAAGTTGGGAGACCACTCTCTCCCGCCTTCGCATTGGCCACACTCGTCTTACTCATGGGTATCTCATGGAGAGGCACCCTGTTCCTCTCTGTGAGCAGTGTCAAGTTCCAGTATCGATTAGCCACATTCTGTTAGACTGCCCTCTCTATCAACGAGCACGCAGAATTTACCTCCAACGTCGTCTTCGTTCTACTACTCTCTCTTTACCTTCCCTTCTTGCTGATGGACCCTCCTTTAATCCTGACTCTCTCATTGACTTCTTGACAACGACCGATTTACTCCACAAACTCTGATGATACTTTTCGCACTCCCCTCAGCCCTTTCTGGTTCAGTCTCTTGCTGCCCTTTACCCTTTCACCATCCACTGCCCCGCTGTTATCCGTAACCTGTTGCTCATCCATCTCCCTTTTGCCACCTGATGCCCTCACTTCCTTCCTGCCCTGCAGCGCTGTATAGTCCTTGTGGCTTAGCGCTTCTTTTTGATTATAATAATAATAATGTACTTTAGTAGTATGTTTTCCATTCTGTTAATTGATACCAAAAAACAGCCAGTAAAACCAGAAAACCATACTAGAAGATGCCTCAGATTCACCACTGTAAATCAATAACAAGTTTAGAGGAGCATTTTTCTCATCATGTAAGGCATGGGGCAGGATTATTTTTTATGTATATTATGCTTGCTCATTGCACAGACCCATTCTCTCATGTTTAGGTCAAAATTTACCACTCACAGCTTATTTGAGGGAGCTGAGTTCTAGATGTAGATCTGTGTGAGCAACTCTGGTGTCCACTGACACATATCTATGTGAAAGTCAGTGAAAGGGTTAACTTCCATAACAGATTTATCAGAAATGATGCTAGTTATTAATTACATGCAGAAGACAAAAAATTTCATACTAATTTTGCTCAAACCATACCACAGGTGGGGCTTGAACTCTCAGTTAGTGAGTCGTAAACTACAGACTGACGCATTAGCCACTGGGCCAGCTAGCTACAATAAGATTCATCCAACTAGGTATATTTATACACCATAGGAAGGTTAGCATAGGCACCACTGTGACCACAAATGCAAGTTTTCACCCTTTTAGCCCACATCATCATTTTCACTGTTTTCTTCCTCTTAACTTGTTCTTAACATTTCTTGAGTGTCCTCCATTGACAGCATATTGTCTTGTTATGCAAATAGTTTGTTTTTCTACATTTGCCTCATATTCTTGAAATCCTTTTCCCAAAGTTGATGTGCCATTCTCACAATTCTTTCTCACTCACATTAGAAAAAAACTATCGAACTCATTCACTATCTCTGGTAACAACTTCCAGCAAGCAATGAGTGTGGATTCCTTCACCACATTCATTTCTTCTTTGATGTAGATGATGCTGTCTATAATACAATTGTACCCCCGTATCTGCAGGGATAACGTTCCAATATTTATTAACCATCGGCTGTTTCCCACCAAGGCAGGGTGGCCCAAAAAGAAAAACTTTCATCATTCACTCGATCACTTTCTTGCCAGAGGTGCATTTACACTACAGTTATAAAACTGCAACATTACACCCCCCTTTAGAGTGCATACACTGTTGTACTTCCCATCTCCAGAACTCTAGTCCGGCCTTCCAGTTTCCCCAAACTCTTCCGAAATTACCTGTCACACTCCCAAAAACCCCGC